CCGCTCACACCGCCCATGTCGCGGGCGTGTCAGATGCTCAATGCATCTCGTTGGGCGCACGCAGAGCCTGCAGAACAGCCGAGTGGATGACGCGGACGAGATCTACATGACAGAGCTCTGTGCGTGACAGCGCTAGCGGCTTTAACGGCGAGGCCCGGCAAAGGCGCGGCTGACGCGGGCGCCGACCTCCCCGACGCCGAGCAGAGGCCCCGACGGGCGGCGGGGTCGCGCTCCATAGACGTGAGAGCGAGTTCCAATGCGCGACAGGTGATTTTGATTTGATTTATTTTCGTCAAAAAAACTACAACAAAAAAACTATGAGCGATTAATGGATTTGACGGATAGAGTCATTAGTGTTTCCGGGCGTATCAAGAGCTAAGGTCCCGTACGCGTAGTGAATGTTTTTATCGCAATAGATGGCGATGATTTTGCTCCGATGGATGACGAAAACCGACCTTCATGTTGGCGTGGAGGTCTTTCCCTAGAACAGGAATCCCCCTCCAAGGGGGCACGGACCAAGACATTCGATAAAAAAAATCCTAATTACAGTTGCGACATCGTTAACAAAATATCAATGTTTCAAATCAAGCAGAGTTAGAAACAGAGCAAGAAAATTTGAAGTGCAACAACACAGTAATATTTGTAAACACAGCAACTGTACAAACAGAAGTGCTGAGAAGAACAGCAAACGAAGACTATTATTAAGCAGACACACCCAACTTCAATGCTATCGTTCTGGACTTAAATGATGAAGTTCGTGGAATAGGTCTTTACAGATATCTTGTCGGGAATCGTGGCATACATCCATGCCAACTTTTCACTGGTATCAAAACCCATTATACTATTGGATGCTCAATTATATAACTTGGATATTGTTGAACATGTGCAGAGTGAGGCGAATTATGATTATCTGAATCACATAGCGAACAACAAATTGAAATTTTTTTTGCGGAATCCTGCAATTTCTACAATGTGCAAAATTAATGACATGTATGGTAATGTATCGTAAGCACTTACTCGCCGCCTCCAAATATGCTTCTGTGATGTCCTGTGTGATGGAAAACTTTTTCTAAATTATGTAGTACCTTAGATCTAGTATTGAACGTGTATACTGGTAATTTTTCTGGTATTTTTCTCTGATTCAGAGAGCAAGACGAAGAATAATATTATACCTCACGAATACAACTTAATTTTAATATTTATAAAAGTGTTGCTGTTACTGAAAAACGTTCTGACCAAATATTTTATTCCAATTTCTTAAAATTTTCAATAACATATATTTGTTGAAATACATCATGCGATTATTACACGTTTACAGGAAAACCTAAACGTTCTAAACAGAGAGAATAATAAAAAAGGGAATTGATACATCGCCAACCACCGATCGCCTTCATGAATAAAACATACCAAAAAATGGCTGTGAAGCCACAATTTTGTCCCTGTGTTTAGAGGCTTCTACGAGTAATTTCCCTTTCTCGTCACTTCGCTCTTTCGCGGGAGTTCACCAGTTGTTGTAATGCTCCGACACAAACCCCTTTCCGCATTTCCCCCACACGCGTCAGCTCCAGAGAGCGCGGGTATTTATATTACGCTCCACATCCACAACAGACACACGGAGGCGGGACAGTGCGGAAAAAACGAACGGCTAGCGGCGACAGATAATCGGCAGGACCGCATACAGCTCCGCAATTTGCACAACGCAATGAACACTTGCACACACGCATGCCATCACGTATACGCACTCACGCATACATACCCACACAAACATACACACATACGCTGATTGATTGACTGTTAGTGATTCCGTTTGCGTCAACTACTAAGGTCACTAATGAATGTTTCTGATAAGGATATAGCTGTGGTATGGCGAGATTCGGCGCCAACCTACTGTCAGTTAGCGGAATTTTTTACAACCAGGTATCTCGGGACACGTTCCATGTTCCCGACCGGTTTTTTGACATGTGGTAGCGTAGTATAAGATAGATAAGTGCGTGTAAGGGTTAGGGTAGGACAAGGGATGGGAAGGAAACACTGCGCGCGGTCCGTGGCCGGTTTGTTTAGGGTACTGCTCCGGCATTCGCCTGGTGTTGAATGGAGAAACCACGGAAACCTACCGATTATAGCAGCCTTCTCATTCAGGCAGACAGAATTCGACCTAGCTAAAAACTAGTGTAGAAAATCCTGCCACCGACAGGACTCGAATCTAGGACCTCCCGGTCAGAGAGAGACTGCAGTGACATCCGTGGATGCCCTGAGCCATCTCTATCCGTCACACATAGGCGGCTCAGACTTAGGCACAGACACACATAGGCACATACATAATAGACACACGCACACACACACACACACACACACACACACACACACACACACACACACATACACACACACACACACACATATATATATATATATATATATATGCACACACGCATGCGCTCGCACGCACCCAAGGACTCACATCCATACATGCGTCTACACATCTTACAGTCAAGCATCAGTGTATAGATATAATTAGCTGCTGCAACTACTCTTAATTCATACGTTTTCAACATGACTATTCCATCCTTATATTTTGTTTATAAAGATTTTCGTGTAATGTCTAGTTTTTTTAGTGTCAAAAAGAGAAAAACGTTACTCAGAGAGAAATTGATTTTAGAGATGTCTTTGATCTTTTTATTTCAGGAATATAATATTATTTGTTTCTCTCTATTCGGATTCCAATGACAACTTTGTTCATATGTAAAAAATAATGTGAAACATTTTAAAGCGCATTGCATAAATAGAAAAACACTGAAAATAATAATAGTAATAATAATTATAATAATAAATAGTAAGAAATAAATGAAAAACGATGAAAACAATTTATTAGTTATTAATTAGTACCCCCTCTCTCACTCTCTCACTCTCTCACTCTCTCTCTTTCTCTCTCTCTCTCTCTCTCTCTCTCTCTCTCTCTCTCTCTCTCTCGCACGATACATTTAACATCCACCCATACTTACTATAGAAATATTTAAACACAGAATGCCGCTGTTAAAATTTTGGTAGTATGTTCGAAATTCTGGTGCGTCGGAACGTCACTCGTTTCATGAAACTACATGGACGATTAGCATACATTTCTCTCATTGGATTTCTAGGCTAGATGTATATTTTTTTCTACTTTTTATTAATTTATCTCCAAACCCCCATTTTGTTCAGCATTAGATGTTGTTCCCTTGAAAATTGCTAATATTTGGTAGTCAGATACTCGACACACTAATTGTCAATCTATATTCTACTTTCCGAACGTGACTGAAAGCAAACAACATGTTTCATTTTTGCAATGTTTTTAGATTATTATTTAAATATGAAAGAAGGGAAAGTAAATAAAGTATCCTCATTTATATCCTTACTCCCAAATGGCATAAACTACCCGATATGCAAGTTTCAAGCAAATGGATATCTTCCAATGCTCTTTCAAATTTCGTGTCTAAAGTGGCCACAACTTTTGTAATGGAGTGGCCAATAACTGAGAGTCATTACGATGTATACTATATAAGTGTGTGTGTGCGTGAGAGAGAGAGAGAGAGAGAGAGAGAGAGAGAGAGAGAGAGAGAGAAAGGGTAAGAAAGAGAAAGAGAGATAGAAAGAAAAAGAAAGAAAAAGAAAGAGAAAGAAAGAGAAAGAATAAGAGAGAACGAGAGAGAGGAAGAAATAAAGAGAAAAATAGATAGAGAGAAATTGCCATTAATTATTTCTGCTTGTACCTTCGTCGTATAAATTAAAACTTCGAGGTGAGAGGGTTTGTGTGGATTTATTGTTGATTTTTTTTGTAAGCAGTTTCGTGAACTTACTTAGTTTGAGAACTATGTTCTACATGAATACAAAGAAACCTGAAATGCCCTTGGCACATTGTTGCAAAATTGCTCCATCTCATGCAGTCATGTGAAAAAATGTCTCTAGCTAGTTCCTTATTGAACGATTTACAGGTTCAGACATCGGTCTTTTGCTGTCTCATTGAAATTAAGCAAGAGTGAAAAAGTAGTTGTGGAAGATTCACACTATTGTATAACAACGTTGTAACAAGTGAAGGCCTTATTCAGGTCTTTCTTGATCGTCCGGTCATTTTTCCTTGAAGGTTTGATAAATCTTTTCGTTGTAGGTTCTATATCATAATTTTCGAACTATAATTACTTGATTGTAATTATGCATCAGCAAATATTATCCAGCACGATTATTTGGACTTTCAATATAAACTTGGTCAAATTTAAGAGCAATACGATGGGCAGCAGACACATACAAGATTTGCAGATTTTCTCTTGTTGGCCCTCAGTGAAATAACACGTCTATTCATAATAATCCTGACATAGTTGAATGTAGTGTAGACTTGGCAGTTGTGCAGTTATATTTGTAAGAAAATATTTAAAGTTTTCCATTTACAATATCCAACAATAAAATAAGAAACTTCACACTAGAAATGTTTCATTCAAATTGTTCTACTTGAGTTATTTTAAGTACTTTTCTTCCGGAAATGTCTACCGGATGATTCTCATGTGTCTACTTATTCACCAAATTAGAGCCCTTAATTGAATGAATAACAGGACTGAGCAAATACTTCACTTCTACGATTCACAAGCAGCCATAATAACATGTGAAGTAGTGCACAATATGTGAAACAAATAGGTTATGCAAGAGCAGGCCATAACCATCGCGAAGTGTAGAGTTCGAGGATGAATATCGTTATAATAGAAAGGAATCCCAAAAAGAGGTGGGGAGAGGCTTGGGAGAGGAACTGCTTGTTATTCGTCGGTGAGGACTCGCGCCCAGGACAGGGGACCGGGGGCTGTATGCTGCGTTAGCTCGCACCCTCCCCTCCAACTTCCACCCCCACCTATACCATTCTCCCCATCTCCCCAACATCCTCCTCCTTTACTATCTCCTTGTTTCTATCCCAGCGGCCACTTCCGCCACTACCTCCGCCTCGCCACCAGGTCTGTCTCGCTGACCGCAACCACACTTACCTCCGCACCTCCAACCCTTTCGTTTTTCACCGCTATCCTCGTCCTATCGCCTCCATTTCTTCCAACGCCTCCATCAACTCCTTCGCCTCCATCCACTCCTCCGCCTCCATCCCCACCAAATTCTTAAGAGTTAAAATCCAATAGGTATTTTGGGAAATTCGCATCATTTTGCTGATACTATAAAATGGTTCAGGCTCCATCGTCTCTATCACCTGTTCTACCTTCAATCATCTACACCGCCTCCGACTCAACCGCCTTCATCACCTAAAGCGACAAACCTGCATTTCGTATCCACACCCCTTCTGCACCTTATATCTGCGGCATGCCACCGACACCGAATCTACTTGAACCACCAATATTTTATGTGTAAATACTCTTATTGGTTTTATCGTTTCCTTACGAACACTACCATCTACGACATATATGCATGACATTTATTTAAACAATAGATCACTACAAAATTAATAGAAATCGTATGGAAAATAACTAGTACTTAGATGAAATGAGCACTGTCATCTTCTTTATCATTAGCTTTATTAATTTTTCAATCCCTTTCTTGACGTAAATGTGAATATGTCGTTGCTGTTTCCAATGTCTGGATGAACCCTGCCTTCACCACGCACGAATATCAGTTTCTGTTCGGTCATAATTTCCCCGCCTCTGTTATCTTTCGCTTCAGTCGTTCGTGTTCTAGACTCAACGCCTCGCCTGCCGCCGCTCCCACCACCACGACCACCGCCCTTCTCTGCTCAGCTAAGTGCCGCTGGCTTTTGTAGGAAATGCGATTCGCTGCGAGGATCGCCTGTGATCGCAGCGACCCCGTGAGCGCAATGAGACGCACCGCATAGGGGACATGAAGTGACATGATACCCTCCTCAATGCAAATGAAACTGCTGCAGCGGTGAAGTACGCTTCTGCCACGCGCAATGCAACACTTCACTTCGGAATATTTTGAAATGCAACGAAGCTATTCACTCAGACAAATCTGAATACGCGAAAGCTAGGCGGCGAAAAGGGAAGACTCATTCTCTTCAATGGAACAAAAGCGTGAAAGATTGGGCATTTCTTTAGAATTTCCATAAACTTACTGTAGTAAATGTAATAACACTATTTGCAGAAAGGAACAATTTCAAATATACAAGACAAGAAAACACTTATCTCTACTTTCGATGTATTCGTAATTCGACATTTTCAGGTGGGTATCTTCGCAACAAAATATTTAGATATATTTCTATACACATATAAATAATTTGTATAAAATGAAAGTGTGTTCAACATATTTGTGATGTTATCCAGAGAATGATTATGCGAGAACACGATATTATGTGAAACAATAATATTTTAGACTGGTAAGTGGGCTGGATTGTTTTTTACACTTAAATAATTGCACCCAAAAAATATTCAATTAACAAACAATATTACAAAAACATAGAGAAAGGTGCTTGTTATTAAAAATACAGAAAAAATGTAATATTTGTAATCTTTCAAACCACTCTTCAGTGTTTCTCTGTCTAAACTTCTGACCTTTGGCAGGAGCGGGAAAAACACCAAGCAGGGGGAGCAGATACGACCCAGGTTGCTCACGCAAACGAGGTACGTGTTACAAGTAACAAGTAACGAGGCCCAGCCCATAATGCAGATGAAGCGAGAGATAGAGAGATGATGAGGCGGCAAACAAGAGGGGGAAAACCTGCACTTCGCCGGTGGCGCGGCGCTGCGGCGGCCACGGCAACGACAGAGGCGCCCGCGTTCGCCGACGCGCGCAAAATGGCGCGATGGAGGCGAAGAGAGATGATGTAGTAGTGGCCGCGGGGGGCGCTGGCGGACTTGAGCCCGTGATCCGGGTCTACGAGTTCACGTCCTTAAACTACGTCCACACGTAAACAATGTGAAAACGAAGGACACTGCGTAATCTACTTAGGTAAATGTATACTAGTCATTTGCGGAGAGGGAATAGGTTCGGGATTTGCGAACTTGTGGTCATGGTTCCACGCAATACTTCGGATATTTTTAAAATAATGAAAGATAACACAGAATTTCAAAAAAAGCAAAAATTCAAACCAAATCAGGTAAAAAATGTAAAAGCTGAGAAATCATTCTTAATTCAATGTTATTGTTTTTTGGTTGATTTTTTACCTGGCATACTTATGGATTGCTGGTTTTGCAGAATTTCTGTATCTTACTGTATTTTTAATAGCGTAAATATGTTTTCAATATGTGAATATTCACATATTGATAATACCGCTCAATTTTTCCCCCGTTAGTTAGGTTTTCCGTTTATATAGAAAATATTTTATTTTTTTGTCCTTTTGTTCATATTGCTTTATTAGCTTTGTGAAATATTAATTATTAAATTGTTTTGCCATAAAGAGAAATGAAAATATGAATGATGATACTTCTTTCCATTGTTTATAATCTTCGTTTGATTTTCTGACCAGAAAAAAGTAGTTTCAAATATAAACATTTCACTACTATTTCTATAATTACACTTTTTTTAATTATTTGAAGCGAAATATACCATATACTCTACAAAAATTGAATTATTCACGTAGTCCGCTTGTAAAACGTAACGTGTAGACTACGTGCAGATTACATATAGAAATCATGCCAACGATGATGAAGGATGATATAGTAGGATGTAAAATTATAGTCTACTGAACAATTCTATTCGAGTGTGCGTGATAACTCGGCTCACAACTGCGCTAATAATCCGCGTTCCGAATTTCGTGTCGAAAAATACTAATACCAATGCTCAATTATCATTTTAAAATTTAACCACTACAGCTATCGTTTACTCCGTTGTTGATTCCAACTTCAACACCTAGTTTATTATCTTGTGAGTTACAGTAAAATCTGTCTAAACCAGAAGCGATCGGGACACAAAAATATTCCGGTTTCTGTTTTATTCAGGGTTGTCCATTTATGACACTTGATATATTGATGTTTCCGTCCGCAAAATTAGTAACATGACTTTATTATAATTATAAAGATATATTAACATATATCTTATTTATGAAAGAAATCATCAACAAATATATATTAAACATAATCATATCTGAAAATTATAAGGAATAACTTCACAACTTACTCACTAAAATGTAATTTTTCCCTTAATTCTTTTAGAGATTTTGTTTTTTTGTTTTTTTATTTTACTAACATTTTTTTCAATTGATTTCTAAAGTTGAAAAATTTTAATATTAAGAGTTTTAAGTTTTTTCCAACCATTGCCAAACTAGTTGTCAAACTCATAAAAACACACCACATCGAGACTTTTCGCAGACTGTTTCAGCGCACAATGCGTTACAGCCCAGAGTACTACATGTTTCTGATACCCTCGCATGGCCTTGAACAATACGGCTCTTGTCAAGGGGTTACGATTGTGAACGCGGGGCTAGGAAATGCGTGAATACACAGCCAGACCATACACAGAAATTTTCCGATTAAGGCAGGTTTCCGGATTGTCCAGGAGCCGGTTTAAGCAGATTTTACTGTATAGTTATTTGCCGTAATAGGTTTTAAGAGAGGACCATTTTATTAAAGTTTGTTATTTCTTCATTAGCGAGAGAACGGGAACACCTTTTAACCATGTAACTTTTTTCTCATCCCATTACATTTTTTGATATTTTAAATGTTCTCCAGCAGTAGACATCCGTTATGGAATAAGATTGACGTGGAACGTTGTTATGCAAGTGCATTAAATATCTTCCTGCAGGGAGGAACGATAACCATTGACCGCGTTATCGTAATGCGTTTGCGCACGTTTTCTTGACCTCTGGAGGGTATTAGAGAAAAACACAATTATTCAAACAATCGGTCGCCGTGCTCTCAAAGTACTAAGTCAATCCCTTCATGTGAGGTGCAATAAGGGACAAGAGCTTATAACATAATTTTAATACTAAATTTAATTAAACTCCATTGATATACTACACTTGTTCGTTCAATTTTAGAATACGGAGCGGCATCCTGGGACCCGTACAGAAAAGGGCAAATCGAAGCGTTATATAAAATTCAAAAACGGGCTTCAAGTTTGTAAATCACGGGTGCGTTGGTGACGAACGAGAAGAATGGGAGTCCTTATCTAAGAGAAGGGAACGGGCGCGTTTATGCGTAATGTACAAGACATACAGAGGGGACACAGCATGGGCAGATATCGGTAAAATATTACAGAAATCAGATTATAAAAGCAGAGGAGACCATCCTTGGAAAATACGATGTAGAAAGCAAAGAACTGATGTAGGCAAGTTCTCCTTTGTGAATCGCACTATAGGAGATTGGAACAAACTACCTGCAGAAGCACTAGAGGCTCTTCCTTCTAATATAGCCAAATTTAAAAATATGCTTCATTCCATCTAGATCATCTCAAAAAATACTGCCATACTGACTGAGACATTTATCTGTATTATTATTTATTATTATTATTCCTTTATTATCATTATTATTAATATTATTATTACTTTTATTATTACTTTTTTATTATTATATTATTACTGACAAATTTATCATCATTGTTAACACTTTCATTTGCTTTGGGGAAAATTTTAAGTTATTATTTATTATATTGTTATTGTTATAATTATTATCGTCATGTCCCTTATAAAGTGAAGTGAAGGGTAGTGCAGTGTAGTGTAGTGTACTGTAGTGAAGTGTTATGTAAACTAGAAGTGAATTTAGAGTTAGATAGAAATAAATTGGAACTATGATATCGACCCCTAATTGTAATAGTAAACCTAATTGTAAATGTTGAAAATGTTTGGTAATTCTAATTCTAATGTTTATCATGTTTGCCACCGAGCATTAGCTCAAAGCGAACTTTAATAAATATATCTATCTATCTACCTAACTCTTGCCAAAACTATTCGTTTCTCTCTTCCCATAAGAGCTCGAGCATATTTCCTAAGATAAGGAAAGAAGTAAAATGAATACATACTTGCACCTTAGATATCTGGTATTGCGTGAATGCAGAATGAAATATTGACATTATTAAAGTATGAAATAGCTGAAGTCATCTTTGTCAACATAGATTTTATTCAGAGAACGGGCTTTCCACGGTTTGCAGTCATCATCAGCCTTGGCGTATGTGGCGAAAGTCGGGAGACAATCTGACTCGCCCCGATGCTAGGTG